TGATGAGGCGGTCGACTAGATTAGGGTTAGGAAACCCTAACTGGAACCCCAAATGTTTAGGGTTTCTGGTTTGATCTGGACCGGTTCTGGTTTGTTTGTAACTGGACCGGTCCAATTGTAATTGGTCTGTAATTATTTATTTATATATTTATTTAATATATATTTAATAATAATAATAATAATAATAATAATAATAATAATAATAATAATAATAATAATAATAATAATAATAATAATAATAATGTGGGTAAAAAATTAGTATCTTCAATAATGTTGTTAATAATAATGTTTGTGGGAAAGTTGTGGTGTCGCCAATGGGTCCACCTGAATCTGGTGTTTCAAATCCTAGGGTTGCAGATGGTGTTGAAAGAGGAGATTCTATGGTTTCTCATGAGAGTCAAGGGTTCAGAGGTAGTGCTTATAATGATGTGAAGGGACCTAATGCGGTTATTGGTGGTGGTGGTGGACGTGGGCTTAGGGTTGAATTAGCACAAGCGTCGAGTAAGTTGAATGATATGGCTGTAGAGCAGAGTAGGAATAATAACTATGATAATTTAGATGGTTTGACTGCTATCGGACAGCAGGGGCAAGGTGTAGGGAATGTGGGGGGCGTTGAGAATGAGGGTTTGATGAGGCAAGGAGAAGTAGGAGCCGGGAATGGGAATGTGAACAGTGGTGGTGGAAGTGGTCCTATGATTGGGAATGGTGTTGGAAATGTGGCTGTGGCTAGTGTTGTTCGCGGTTCTGCTCCTGGGGTTGGTGGAAGTGGTGGTGGGACGATATTGTTTGTTGGGGATTTGCATTGGTGGACAACAGATGCTGAACTGGAGTCAGAGTTGTGCAAGTATGGGCCTGTGAAGGAAGTGAAGTTTTTCGACGAGAAAGCAAGTGGGAAGTCAAAAGGATATTGTCAGGTTGAGTTTTATGATCCAGCCGCAGCCACAGCTTGTAAGGAGGGAATGAACGGGCATGTGTTTAATGGAAGGCCTTGTGTTGTTGCCTTTGCATCACCATTTACTGTTAAGAAAAGGGGAGAGGCTCAATTAAATCGGAAACTACAGATGGCACAGTCTGCTCTTTCACAAGCTGGGAGGGGCCGTAATGATGCTGGAAGCAAGCCTGTTGGCATCAACATTCAAACTGGTGGGAATTATCAAGGTGGAGATAATAATAAAGGTTATGGGAGAGGGAACATGGGAAGAGGCAATGCTCAGGGGATGGGAAATAGAGGGCCAGTTGGTCCTATGAGGAACAGGGCTGGTGGGATGGGCGGTAGAGGAATCATGGGAAATGGTGGAAATGGTTTTGGACAGGGTATTGGTGCAGCGCCAGACCTCATGCATACACAATCTATGATGGGTCAAGGCTTTGGTCCTGCTTTTGGTGGAGCTATGGGAAGAATGGGCGGTTATGGAGGCTTTCCTGGTGCTCTAACATCTCCATTCTCTGGGATGTTAAATTCATTCCCTCCTGTTGGCGGTGTTGGTTTGCCTGGAGTGGCTCCTCATGTTAACCCTGCATTTTTTGGAAGAGGTATGTCCATGAATGGTATGGGGATGATGCCTTCAAGTGGTGTAGATGGGCCTAATATGGGATGGTCAGACCCTAGTATGGGTGGATGGGGTGGTGATGAGCATGGTGGTGGGAGAGCTAGTGAGTCTAGCTATGGGGAGGAAGCTGCATTTAATCATCAACACGGTGAAGCTAGTCATGATAGAGGAGGTTGGCAAAACCCTGTGAAAGAAAAAGATAGAGCTTCAGAAAAGGAGTGATCTGGCTCGTCTGAAAGAAGGTATCGTGATGATAGAGAACCAGGAAATGATAGGGACATGACTGGGGAGAAGGATACAGGCAATGGTCATGATTGGCCAGAAAGACAGCACCAAGATGATAGAGACATCGGTCGAGAATGTGATAGGGAGCGTGACAGGGATCAGGAACACTCTCGAGATCGTGACAGAAACCATGATAGGGAACTTGATCAAGAGAGGGATCAGAACCGATATAGGGAAGACAAAGACAGGTATGCAGCTCATCATAAGTACAGGGACCGTGAGCCTGAGCATAGTAATGATTGGGATAGGGGACGGTCATCAAGGACGCACAGCAAGTCACGATTATCTCAGGAGGAGGAACATCGCTCGAGATCTAGAGGTGCTGATTATGGGAAGAGGCGACGACTGACCTCTGATTGACTTATCTGATGCCTTCTCTAGCAGAACCTTTCAGTTCAAACTAATATCAATAAGAAAAGAAACGGTAACTGCTGAAACCTTAGGTTCATCATTCACTTTTGATATCTTTCTCAGCTGGTCGTCCCGTGGTCATCATTTCTTAGCCATTCTTGATACTTTGCCTGAATGACTGCTTCTACCCGTGGAGTATGCTCTCAGTTTTTCATGGAACAAGTAAGTTCCTTGACAATGTTTACCTCGCCGTATTTCTGAATATTCATTACCATAAAATCGTTATTGAATTTTCTTTTCTCTGAATTTGTGGGAGTCTTGATATTCAATACTGCTCATACATTTCCATATTTTTAGTCATGTATCTTAATTATTGAAGATCTCAAAATGATGCTGCAGGCTAGCCAAGATTCATGTAATGAGGATTTTATTCATATTTTCGCAATCTTCATCTGATTATGAATATATACTGCATCCCAATTATTGATTTGTGCTATGTTTATTGTAGTAGTTCCCTTGTTTAACATACAGTTATACCATGCATAAAAGATCGAATGTACGTTTTGAGTTGATTTAATATATAATTAGGGAATTATTGGTTGTGTTTGTTAATTATAATGAAACAATTATTATTCCGGTGTCGAGTAGAAAACTTTATTTAATCGTGCATTTATCAAGTTTACTTGTGCTGCTCAAAGCCAACTACTTCGATTATACACGGTCTGTTATATTCTTAAGAAAATAGTTCCTAATTACAACTGTTGTTTATTTGATTCATAGCTTGAAGGGTATTTGATCTTCGAGATTTGAAGCTGTTCAGTAAAAACACTGGCATCTTGGACATGAAGGATGATCTCGGCATCGAAAGTTTGTGACAGTAACACGGTGTTTTGACAGCCACATTCGTGTAGAATGAATCTCATACTTTTTTTCTCTTTTTTTTTTGGTTTTGCATTTATGTTTTAGATAATATTAACACGATGAAACCAAAACCGATATCGTGGAAGATGATGTTTATGGCTCGAAATCTCTGAAGTCCTCAGTTTAATTTCTGAAAGTTTAAAAGAAGAGTTGGAATGTGATGTAATAGGGATTTAGTTTGAGGATGTTGATGTGCATTTTCTGATGTTCTTGTGCCATTTTTGCATCTTTTTAATTTATTTTTTGGGGTTAGTTTTGGTTTGCAGCTGTATGTTAACCATGTGATTTATTTTTTTTATTTGGTGAAGAGAGATGTAGAATATATTAATAATACACACCACACAAATTCTAATACATGTATATATTGCGTCATGTGTATTTACTTTCTCATTTTCATGTCATATAATTATTATCTATATCAACGATTACCTGACCTATTCCCATATGTAATAGGATAAGGGGTAGGGTAGTAGGTTGCCTCTAACGCCAGGTTGGGAGCAGTTTCCGTGGAAGACCTCCGTTATGAATTGCTCTCAGTGGGATTCGATCTCACGACCATAAGGTTAAGAGTCTTGCGTTCTACCAACTGAGCTAGATGGGCAATAAAGACAAAAATTAAAGGAGTGGAAGGGACTGCTTCTAAATTTGTTGGTCTAATGACAATTTAGGTCCATACACGTTTTATTATTAGACAAATTTTGAGTTCCAATATTTATTAAGTCCTTACATTTTTAAAATTCAATCATTGATCCCTTCCCATTTTTTTTTAATATTCGATGTATATGAATGCATGTAGTTTGATGAAACGTGTTGAAATCATAAATAAGATAAAAGAAGGCATAAGCGATCTTGGTATTTAAGATTCCTTTTTCTTTTGTTGTAGAGTTATGATCATTTGTTCTCTTCAAAGCAAAGCATCAATCTTACCCTCAACTCATCAATATATGCAAGAAGTACACCATGATAATTTAAGTAAATTATTAATGAATTAAATCTTAATTGATATTAGATTTTGAATTTGATCTTAACTAATCCTTTGTTTCATTGAAAAGATTAAAGGCTTTGGTTTGCATATATAGTTTTATGATATATATAGAGAGAGCAATGCAAGACAAGTGCCACAAAAGTACTGCTCCATTACCGTATTGTGAAAGCTTATTATGATATTCATTACAGTGGTGATGGTGGTTTTATCAGTAGCTTTTCTATGGCTACAGAAGGGAAATTGATTGCTTATTTGTACTCCATCATTGTTGTTCTTGATGCTGTTATTTCGTGTTCTTTAAAAGCTGCAAAACAGTTTTTAAAGGACCGACGAGGGAGATACTGTTGCATGATTGAAGAACATTGGAAGAAACAATGAAAATCACCAAGGATCCTAAACACTGATCATTTCTGTTGCAGAAAGAGGAAACTTTACAAGAAAAGATAACAAAAGTATAGTGTATTGAAGAAAATGATCCCACATCGATTAGATCACTGTCCACTTCTAGGTCAACAAAGAAAACATCACCACTAAAAAGTAAGGTTCACCGAGTTCGGAATCTCTATAAATTCGAACCATGGCAAGATAAGAAGCTAAGCTTCATGATATGTATGTTCTTTGATTAAGGAATCAAATCAAAACTGTTTCCACGAGAAAAGAAAATGAAGGGGAAACAAAATTGACTATGTTACAATATAGATTCAATATATTCCAGGTGTTAGTTCTCGATCTATTGAAGTTCATAATGATAAATTCCGATTATAATCTATTCAGATACGGAACACGTACAATCATAATTATACCTTATAACTTAAAAAAATACACCAAACTTGAAAGAAACAAAGTATCCATAGAACCAAAAAGGAACTAGTAATATTGTTTGTCCTTCATGTTTCCTACCAAAGACCCAAAAAAAACATCAAAGCAGAGCATATAGTACTACCGAAGTCTTAATTTTTGGTTCCATCTAAGGTTTGCGATAAATGAATCCGAAACTACTTTGGACCAATGTCTTTGAGAGCACAGATCTGCTCTTCCCCCATTGCAGACATAACAGACACAACCAGGTCTTTCCCCTCAGCAAAACCATCCTTGATCTGCACTCACCAAACCACACGAACGTAAATTATTAGACTACTGTCTTCATGATACGAAAAGTGAGTCATTTTCATGTTTGGAATGGGGATTAGTCATATATTTATGTGTGTGTGTGTCTGTATATATATATAAGAACAGGGTAAAACAAGAAACGCAATGCTGAGTAGCATTGAAACAAAAACAGAAGAACAGTTTCAGGCTTTCAGCTAGTTCAAACATGTCCAAGTAGGACTATGTAAACCGATTGCATATGGTGTTCACTCAGGTTCCTAACACCCAGAGGGCTGGAAACTATCCAAGGAAAAATGATTGCAACCAATAAAATATAAAACCCCTCTCGTGTAGGATTTTAATCTCTTCTTTGTGTAGAAGAAAGGAGACTGCAAACGGTGCTGTCAATGACGCCCTTTGACACAAGGGTGATTCGGCACAAGGAACCAGTAGCACAAAATAAGCCACAAAAGATGCTCACAGGTTAAGATTGTGTGAATACTTTATATCCCAAGTTGAACTCTAGTACTCCACTGAAATGAGATTAATGGGTCCTCTATACGAGGACAACAATAGGCACGAAGGGAATACAAGTAGCCAACCTTAGATAAAGGAAAAGGCTTTGCTGTTTTTAGAATTCAAATCAGTAAATCGAATAACAATAAAAGCTACTCTATATCAAAAGACCCATTCATTGAAAACATATAAAAGAACAGATAATTTACCTGTTTCAACAAGTTTTCATCAGTTGGAAGCCTCAGATCGTCCTTAGTGTCTCCACTGTCAGTCAGCAAACTCACCTGAAATATTTAACAAGTTAGCAAAAAAAAAAAAAAAGGATAGACTGCACAAAAAAAGAGAAGGCAAAAACGGAACCAAACAAACTTACAAATCCATCCTCAGAAATGTCGATCAACTGATAGTCAGTACGATTGACGTGTGGAACCTGTTAAAACCAGGGGATAATTAATTCACCAGTGCGAGTACATGACAGGTTAGAAGATTGAGAAGAAAAAACCAACAATTGATGAAGTAGGTTATAATTTCATACATCGCAGTTGTGAGAAGACGGGACGATATCTTCCAGCTTCTTGGAAGTGAAGATGTCGATTGCAACAAAATGACACTTCGCATGACCGTGCTTCCCAGTCTTAGAGGTCGAAACTTCGACAACCTGGCCAACTCAATACAAGTCAACAACCGTCAAGTTCAGTTAAAAAGTCAAATCATTCCAAATAGCAACGAGTGCAAATCAACACATCAACCAATAATTCATCACGTTCCAACAAGGCTTAATACCAAAATAATTGCCCAAACTATACCTTTTTCCCAAATAGGTGTCTAAACTGTTTTTTTTACTCATCCAAGTGTCTATCGTTACGAATATTACCACGTTAGTCACAACAGATGAGTCAAAAATAATTTAGGCACCTATTCGGAAAAAATGGTATAGTTTGATCACTTATTTTGGTATTAAGCCTTCCAACAAACACCATCAGATTGCTTATAAAAAGAAATTCATCAAAAAGTTCCTAATTTTTTAATGCTACAGTTTTAGTTTAGTTTACTTATAATCCTGTTTTTCTAATTTGTTTTTTGATTTAACAAAAGTTTATATAAATTCAAAGAATATACTAAAATGTAATATCATATTCGACTCTTAATGCACAGGTATCAATTATCCAACTATTAAAATTAATTCAACAAACAAGCAATAGGTTTTAATCATCAAATCTAACCTATAAATCATAAATAATTCCCAAAAGTCAAAAATAAAAAAAGACAACTTAGAGGATAAAATCAAACGGATACTAAGAAGTGACCTTGCAGGGGCGGCCTTTGATGACGATGTACCCGTTCTTACGAATCGTTCCGGCCTGTTGAGGATAGGTTTTGGAGGCGCCGGCGTCGGCCTTAGATTCAAAGTGATGTTCTTCGTCCGACATTTCCGGATTTTCAAAAAAAAAACTTTTTTTCCACTTTAGGTGTGCAGCAGAAAGCAGACTGTGGGCGGAGCAGATGTGCGGACTTGTACATTTTTATATAGTTAAATACTGGAAGTTAGGGTTTCTAATTTTATTTTAGGAAAAAAATAAACGTTTAGTATCTAAACTATTAATTTTTTCGTTCTAGTATCTAAATTTTCATTTTTTTCAAAAAATACCTAAATTTTAGTTTTTTTTTATTTTAATACCAAATTTTTAAGTTTTGAAAAAACTAGAAGTTTAGATACCAAAATAGGTTTAGTACCTAAACTATACTTAAGTTTTGGAAAAAAATTGAAAGTTTAGGTACTAAACGAGTTAAATTTTTAAAGACGAGATACCAAAATAAAACAAAAACTAAATTTTAGGTATGATTTTGAAAAATTAAAAAAGTTAAGTACTAAAACATATCAAAACCAATAGTTTAGGTACTAAATGAACAGTTTACCCTTTTATATTACTATTTGTGAGGATTGTATATATTCCTTTTTTTTTTCTGTTTGTTATTTCACATTAAATAAATATTAGGTAACATTATCCAAATAATATTATTCTATACTAAATTAATGTGTTGACATGGTAACCGACATAGATTTGATAGTATCATTAAGTGTCGTATGTTAAAATATTTTTAGTATTTTTTTAAAAGAAAAATGACCTATATTGCATTTGTTATAATTGACATTAGTTAAGATAATATTTGAAATATATGAGGAAGAATCATATGTACATTATTAGTGATTGATAACATCAATTATTATGTATCAATTAAACAATTAAGTTTTGATATCAATTTGATTTTAAAAAATCAAATAATAATTTAAAAAATTACCAAATCTAAATATTATTTTACATAATAGATAAATTTTTATATTGGAGAGATAACGGCTTTTAACAATAACATGCTCTTACTAATATAAAAAAATCGATTGTATTATGTGTACATTATAAATTTTATAACAATCGTCGAACTTTGTTAATATTATTTCTTTCTTTATAAATTATAGATATAAGAAATAATTACCTTTTTAAAAATTATAGTGTATTCTTTTTTAATTGTAATTAAAAATAATAAATACGTATGATTGTAATCGCAATTAATTAATTCAATCAGGAAATAAAACTATAAAAAAAACTAATTTGTATATTCATATGATAAAAAATATAATAAACTATTATAAAGTATAAATGAAGCTACACAACATAATATATCAATAAAAATTAGCTGACTTTACTCCCATATGTAATGGGGTAAGGGGGAGGTAGGATAGTAGGATGCCCCCAACGTCAGGTTGAGAGTAGCTTCCGTGAGAGACCTCCAGTAGTCAGAATTATGAATTGCCCACCATGGGACTTGACCCCACAACCACAAGGTTAAGAGCCTTGCGCTCTTACCAATTGAGCTGGACGGGTAATTTACAACATAATATATCAATCATAAACTAAAATACCTTTGGAAAAGCCCACACATATCTGGTCTGAATCTGTGATTTTAACTAATAACCCACACATGGATAGACCTACACTGCAGATAGGGCGGTCGACTCTCTTAAAAATTTTAATTTTTTTTATTATATTTTTATATTTTTAATAATATATTTTTAACCCTTGAAAAATTATATAATTTATTTAACATAAAATATTTCCTTCGTCCTTTAAATTAAAAAAAAACTTAAATCATCATAAATCTTGATACATGTTGTTGATTGTATTTAAAATTATAAATCTAAAAATTTTAATTGGGTAAACTACATATTTAATACCTAAATTATCAGTTTTAATTTATTTTAGTACTTAAATTTTTATTTTTTTCAAAATCGTACCTGATCATTTATTTTTGTTCCATTATAGTATCTTACCGTTAAAAACTTAACGCGTTTAGTACATAAACTATATGTTTTGTTATGTTTTAGTACCTAAACTTTTTTTCAAAACTTAACGTTAAGTTCTTGACGGTGTACTAAAATAAAATAAAAACTAAATATTATATATAGTTTTGGAAAAAATAAAAATTGAGATACTAGAACAGACAAAAAAAATTATAGTTTTGTAGACACTAAATTTTCATTCCCACCCCCTCCACTGAGCCTTTTTTCACCACACATAGAGCAGTGATCCACAATAGTAATTGACGCCGTTCTTCTCGGCACGTCACCAACAACCAACAGATCAAGAGTCTCAATTTACATAGGACTCAAGCTAAAAATAGGTGTTCTTTTCATTATAAATAAAACGTGTAAACCCAAAGCAAAGGAGGAGGATCACAGAGAGTATACGACGAAAATACAGAGAAAAAAAACACAAGTCATTTACACTTGTTAAACTTCGAGAAAGAAATAAAAGGCTAAGAACCTTACCTGAGGTTGTAGATGGTGGTGGCTCCGGCGATCAGTTTGTAAATTCCAACGGCGAGGAGCTAGGTGATGACGGGGGTAACAATATATCTCGACCTTGTGAAGATCCAACGGTGACAGTGTGAGATCAGTGGTGCGAAAGAAATCTAGAGACCTCACCATATTCAAGCGTTTGGGGTCGATTTATTTCAAACCCGAACCAGAAAAGAGCAAGGGAAGGAAGCAAAACCAAATTGTCCATCCCTTCCTCTCTGTGTATTTGATTACACCAAACCCAGACCATATCGTACGCCACAGTTCCCCTTCTCCTGCCACCGTCTCTTCCCTTAGTCCAGGAGTATTTCGAGCAGCTTATTTCGAAACTCCGATGCCAAGGTATCAAAGTGAAACAAAACGGCGAATTTGGAAAAGAGAGACATGGAAGAACAACATACTTCGAAACAGTTACGATCCAATGGCGGAATGATCAGATCGGATTAGTGAAAAATCGAAAGGTTTTTTTGGCTTTTTCGTGGAGTTGAAGGCCACTTCTCTCAAAACCGGGGACGGATTCGAATTGTTGGCGTTGAGACGAACTTTCCTTTGAAGTTTGAAACTAAACGGCGGAGAGTGACTGCGAGCGGCGGTTCACCTATTCCTGGCGAAAGCATTGTAACATTCTCTCTCTCTCTCCCTCTCTCTCTCTCTCTGTATTTTACGTGAAGCAGTGAGATGATCCCTTATTTGTTTTGTTATGAACATGTGTTTAATGCATTGATTAAATTAAGCCATTAACCATTTTAGTTTTAAATGAAGTTGATGTAGCTTCATTCTCTTGAATTGTAACACTTTGGTCCCTGTGTTAATTTCACTTTAACTCTCACGTTTGTTTGCGCCTTAATTATAGTTCATGTGTTATGAATCTTTAGCCATCATTGAGTACATTTTAATTCAGGCTTTACTAAAAACCTTTTTTTAATCTATTTGATATTTCTTTATTATTTTTATTTTTCAATTTGACATTCATTTTGCCATTTTTAGTAATAATCTCAACCGATCAAAGGTAAGCAACTCGAATCGAATTTTTAAATTTTAATTTTTCGCAATTAAAGACAACTGGAAATTACATAGTACCGAAAGGGCGGTTCAAGGGTGCTAATCCTTCCTTGACCGTAACCGACTCCCGGATCCGACATATCACTGGTAAGACGCAGACCATGTAAGAAATAAGGTATCCGATCAACCCACTTTTCGTAAAGTAAATGATCGGTGGCGACTCCAATCCACATTTTTCAAGTCGAAGCCCAATTCCGGGGCCCAACGGAAAGACGGTTTCGACAGCTTGGCGACTCCGCTGGGGACAGGTAAGTGAGTCAGGCTAGAATTAATTTCTGGTTGTCTTTTTATGCGAAAATTGTAAGTTTAAATTTTAATTTATTTATTCGGTTCCGATTATTTACCTTTGATTATCTTTCAAGTAAATAGTTGTACTAACGTTTGTTCAATGATTTCAGATTTTTCAAAATTGTCATCTCTAAGCTCTAAACCCGAGCTCCAAACCCGTTTTAAGTGGGGGTGAAAGCGACGCATTCGTGTGAATTTATTCACCGCATATGCCTAGCAAGTAGCCTTCAGGATTCATATACCTTATGTCTTCGTGTGAATTTATTCACCGTGCGGGCATAAGGGAATGTGTCCTCTCGAGTTTAACTTAGTCCACACAAGCCTGTGATGGGTTTAGGACTAAGGGTCTGGCAAGCCCAAGGGGGCACCGGCAAGGAGAACTCGAGTACCTTTTTAGAACCTAAACCGGGAGAGTACATGGAATTAGAGCCCACCCCAAAACCTCATTCCAAACCCTAGGCTGTTTCGTTTCCTGCATTATTTTTCAAAGCATGCGAACTAGACAAATATGCGGCTAGGATTTGTTTGAAATTAGCATGCGGGATAGAAATCATGTCTGTGTAGGAATATTAAGCATGTTCGGGTAGATTATCATGTGGGGTAAGACTTTTCATTTTCATCATTTTTATTATTATCATCATTATCTCACTAACTTTTTTTTTCCTCCTTTCATTTTTATTCTTTGGCATTTTTTTTTATCATTCGCATCATTAAAACGAGGTATTGATCCACAAAAAATGTGTTTGTTAAACGTAAATAATCTGCATTAATGGACAAAGGGGTTATAATACAAAGAGATAAAAAGCTCAGAAGTCCAACCGTGATCAAAGAATACTCAGAGGCAAAAGTTGCAGGGGCAAGACGAGGAAATGGTTACTGACCCGGAGAGTCCTTTCAAAAATTACGAGAACAAGATGGTGAAACCCTAGCTAAGCCGGAGACCATTATTCCAAGAACAGGTCGACAAACTTCGGATTGAGGGCTCCAATGGCACTTTCGTTTGGAACGAGCGGCATAGAGCGAAGGCCGGAGATGCAGTCATTCGAGACCTTTTTTGGAGCAAGCAACTCGTTACCCGCACAAGTTTAGCCAAAGGAACTGGAATGGTTCGACAAGATATTCAACCGGTGAAAAAGCGGAAGACGAATCAACTTTCCAGAGGCTGTGCAGGATCTATACCATCAAAAAAGTTTTTTGTCTCTTCAGACGTAACATTTTTATCCCCAATAAGGATTATTCAGAATAATAGGCACATTTTTCGGATCAATGCCTCGAACATTTCATGCATCATACATTCAG